TATTATAAAGAATTTTCGGTCACTGGGTTATTTTCTCTAGTTTTTATCCATAACAATCTTCTCACATGAGTTTAAATCCATAGTTTTTATCCACTCCTGAAATTATGGGAAAAGGCGAGAGAAGAAGGACGAGAGAGGAAGAGGAAGGGAGAAGGGAGAAGGGAGAAGGGAGAATGGAGAAGGGAGAAGGGAGGGATTTATTTATTTTTTTAAAAAAAATTTAATATGATAAATTGTCTTTAAATTTTAAGTTTTAAAATTATCAAAATACAATTAGTATCACTTAAAGAAATATTTTTATTATTATTAATATATGGAAAATACAAGTCAATATTTATTCGAAGATAAACTCTTAGCCATTTGATATTAAATGCTCACACCCTAGCACTTATGCTGCTTTAACCCGATATCTCAAGGAGCAATAACAATTCTTTTACTACCGAGGTCGCTTGATTTGTACACTTAACGGGATTTTTTAATTGTCGTTATGGTCGAGACACTTAAAATGATAACGTTTATAACGTTAGGTACCTGGATTAATTGAAATATAATTTAGACACTTAAATAAAAAAAATAGTATGATTTGAGCACTTATTTTTATATTAAGTCTATTATAAATATTTACAATTAAATTTAAATAGAAACTTAAAAATTTGAATCGACTCCAATCTTATAAACTTGATTCGGCTAAAAAAATTGAAGTCAACTCCAAGTTAAAAAAAATGAGGTTCCTCAAATCAAATAATTCAAAAAAATTTTATTTTATTTGACTGAAAAAAATTTCAAATCAACTTCAAGTTAAAAAATTGAGGTTAGTCAAATCAAATAATTCAAAAAAATTTAACTTCACTCGACTCAATTGAACACTCACTCTTAATTGAATAGTTAAAATCAAAATTAAAAGGTAATAAAAAATCAATTATTGTAATTTCTACGTCGGCAATCCGTGGCTCCCCTTTCTGATCCAATGAAAACTCGCAAGCAGTTTGCCACTCGCTTTATAAACGAACCTTTTTACGTCCTTATTCCAATTGATCATCATCGTTACAAAAAAACGCTAAAATTGAATTTTCCATAATCCCAAATCATTCCCAATACAAATAATCTAGGGTTTTAAACGAAGATGAGCTCTTCAGGATCAACAAAGGGAGGCAGAGGCAAGCCCAAATCCTCCAAATCCGTTTCCCGATCTCAGAAAGCCGGCCTCCAGTTCCCCGTTGGCCGTATCTCTCGCTTCCTTAAAGCCGGAAAATATGCTGATCGCGTTGGTGCCGGTGCCCCCGTCTACCTCTCCGCCGTCCTTGAGTACCTCGCCGCTGAGGTACGTGCCCTTCTTTTTTCACCCTATTCTTTTAACATTCCCCTTTCAAATGCAAATAGGAGGAAATTTGACTGTTTGGGTAAAAAAAACTTGTGGTTGCAGGTTCTTGAACTCGCTGGAAACGCGGCTAGGGATAACAAGAAGAACCGTATTGTTCCGAGGCACATCCAACTGGCCGTGAGGAATGATGAAGAGTTGAGCAAACTTTTGGGGACTGTTACGATTGCAAACGGTGGCGTTTTACCCAACATTCACCAGAATCTGTTGCCGAAGAAGAGTGGTAAAGGAAAGGGCGATATTGGCTCTGCTTCACAAGAATTTTAGACGATTTCATATCTTTTTTTAGGGGTGGTATGAGAGAGGGAGAGTCTGTTGTCGCTGGGTTGTTTCGTGAACATTCAATTGATCCAGCATAATTTTGATCTTGGCTGGCTTTTGCTTTTGTTAAATATAGCCAATAGGTTGTGCGAATTGAAATGCTATTCTTGTTCATATTCTATCTTCCTTTCATTTTGCAATAGTTTGCCGTTCTTTCAGTTAAGCCTGGGTTTACCTAGCATTGCCTGCGATGTTTCTGGTGTTTTAAGATAATCCGAATTGTGTAGTTTGGTGATAAATCAAATTTAGGTTTTCAGCCTGATATAATAAAATAAAAAAATTTCTTAAAGCCTGTTTTTCGATTGGGGATGTAGCTCAAATGGTAGAGCGCTCGCTTTGCATGCGAGAGGTACAGGGTTCGTTCCCCTGCATCTCCAAATCTCTTTGTCCTTTTGCTGTAAAAGATCAAATATGGATGTGCTGTGGTTTTCTCTAGTAATAATTACTTTCTGACAAGTCTTCGAAAATTTACAACTTCCCCGCTACATATCTCAATCCCATTAAGAGTTTTTGCTGGTCTTTTTGTTTCCAAGCGTTATGCTCATATTTAGTTCTGCAAGTATAGGTATCTAGTTCCTCAGTATGCTGAGGCTGAAGGGAAGCCTGAGGGATTTTCATGGTTAGCTTTGCTTCTTGCCTTATCAGATGTTTAGTTTAGGGGTTGGTGCCTTCTCAAGATCAGTGTCCATTTTGATGTCTTTTTGCCCATCATACTCGATCCTTGTTTATGTTTGAGAGTAGTCCAGATGTTTATAGGGCTTTAGCTTAGTTTCCTTGATAAGAAAGATGAAAAAAGGGAACTTGTTCTCTTGTGTTTTGGCCTTTGATCACACTTATTTTAGGGTGGCGAGCCTTGGTTCAGTAGTAGGCAGCACTTCAGTTCAGGGTCTGCATGAGACTAGATATTTTCTAAACCAATACAGATATGTGATAACATTTGGTTACTTGTGCGGTAGATTAAGTTCAAAGTGAAAAGGAATTCCTTTTCTTGTTAGCCGTTAAATATACCTTAAGGTCTGTCGATCTGAATTGTAGCAACTTAGCATGGTGAAGCTTTATAGCATTTGGTTGTGAAATTAGCATGGTTAAATATACCTTCATGAAGAAAATACAGATTCATAATATGCTTTTCAATAAATCTCGGTAAAAGAAGAGTAAATTAGTACGAATTTATTTAATAATAAGAGAACAAAATTATAATGATGATTTTTTTATTAACTATGTGATAATAAACGTTCATACCCCTACATACACAGTACTTTAACATTGGATCTCGAGGGATAACAACAATTTATTAACCACTGAAATCGTTTGATTCAACTATAATGATGATTCTCGGTGACAAAGGCAATGCTAGGTAAACCCAGGCTTAACTGAAAGAACGGAAAACTATTGCCAAATGAAAGGAAAATAGAATATCATGAAACCCTTGTTTTATATTATTCGTTTGATGCTATGAACAATAATGTAGCATATCAAATGCCCTTTCATGTTTATGGTGTTTTAAGATTAGTGAAATTTTACTTTATCAAAACGAAAATAACACTATTTGGTGTGGGGATGTAGCTCAAATGGTAAAGTGCTCGCTTTGCATTTTGAGAGGCACATGGTTCGATCCCCTGCATTTCCAAACGCCATTTTCTTTTTGCTGTAAAATAATCAAATGGATGCTCGTAGCGGAGATTGGAAGCATTGTTTTCCTTCTCATATCCACCGATGAGATTAAGGAAATTCCCGCCAAGGTCTTCACGTGAAAGAGGAATGTGGGTTCATCTGCTCTCAATTCGACAGTGTTGAGTTACTACTCTTCAACTGAACACAAGTATATTCATCAACACAAGCATGCCTTGAGCTGCTCATTATGCAGGCTCTTTATACAAGAATTGCAAGCAGTTACTGCCACACTAACAGCCTAACTAACTGCTAACAGACTCCTAACAATTGCTGACTCAGCTAACTATTATTTACACAGTTTACACAATTTGCACGTATACAACACACTCCTACGTGCATGTATATACCTCTAATAGACAGTTTCAAGGCTCTGCTTAGTTTTGTCCATACTCATGCTCTGTTTTCCTGCTGCCTCATGTATCCAACAAATTGGAACTCTAATCCTTCATCTATCTGGGGTTTTTTCTTTAGTAATAATTAATTACTTTCTGGCAAGTCCTCCAAAATTTACTATTTTATTATGTGTTTTCCATTGCTGGTTGTTTTTGTTTCTAAGCGTTATGCTCATATTTATCTTTTTTGAATGTATAGGTATCTAGTTCCTCACTATGCTGAGGCTTAAGTGAAGACTGAGGAATCCTTGTGTGGATATGGCCATTCTCGTTATGTAGGAAACATAACTATCTAGCAAAGTTTTTCTCTAATGGGGCTTTACCTATCATTGTCGTACTTTTAAATGAGTTGGATTAGAGATGGGAAAAGTGTTTAGATACCAGGAATATTACTGAGGCTATATGATATTTTTGCTAAATCATCTATTGCAATTGAAATGCGCCTGGATTTCTCACCCTTTGAAGTTGTTTTCCTTCGTAATCTATATGCAAAGAAGTTGTGTATAATTTCATTGACAGTTGTACCAAGGGGATTTCTCTTGCTAATTCATGATTCTCCTTGCATGTTAAGTTACTCTTTTAAACTAGAATGTTGTTTTAGTAAGTAATTTTAAGTACGAGAAGAATTGCAGTGAGTTAGTTGTGAGAATACGATGATTCTCTTTATGTGGGCAACATAATTATCCAACTTTGATATTTAGGTATAAATTATATGCAAGTGAAATTAGTTTGAGATTTAATGAGTCATACAATCCAACCATGACTGAGATATTGAAAGTTAAATCATTTTGGTTTTGAATTAAAGGAATTTGCTTGGTGCCAAACCTCACTTCTCTAGATTATTTTGTGAATAACATCAATGACAAAACTTCATTGATTTTTGGTACAACTTTTCAAAAAATGAAGTTAAAAAGGAAGAATTGTTGGAGAAAAACATCTATTCTTCACACCAAAACACGTGGTTATTGACAAAAACTTCGAAGAAAATGCTAAATTTTTCTTCAAACGTGTCAAAGTGATGCAATCAGGTAGGAGGAAGAAGCGTCACGGAAACCGAAGCATTGACCGAGTCGAGCCGCCGGGTTTCATTTCAACAAATCCCATTCTAGAACCCATCATTGCGTTTTTAGCCTTTTGGAGGATTAGAAAGCGAAGTTTGAGGTTCAAATTCAACAGTACACAGATTGCCATTTTCCAACGCGGATTCATTCATTTATTTCAAAATCAAACAGATTTACTTGTGTAAAGAAGAATGAATCCGAGAAAGGAGAAAATAAAGTTCATAAACTTTTAGTTTCGTACCCTTTACTATGCATGAAAAAGTAATTTAATTTTCTCGAAACACCCCGGAAAAGAATAAGAAAGTGGAAGAAAAAGTGCGGGTTAGGGGCTTAGGATTAGAGTTGGGTCCGTGATGGGTTCGAAGCCGTGGCTACAGCCGGCTCCCATTTATCGGACTTTGGAGAGTTTTTGGGACTCCGATGAGGATGCTCCTGGTCCTCGGTGTAGTCACACTCTAACTGCTGTTGCTGCTACTAAGACGCACGGTCCTAGACTTATTCTCTTCGGTGGTACCACCGCCATCGAGGGTGGCGCTTCCGCTTCTGCTCCCGGAATCAGTTAGCCTCTTTCTCTCTGTGGATTGTTGTTTATACTTACAATTTGTTTTTTATAGTAATTTTTCCTCAAATTTTTTTGGGTGGGGTTAGGATTGGCGGATGTTACGAATTCAGTTCATTCCTACGATGTACTTACTAGAAAGTGGACCAGGTGATTATTCTTTTCCTTTACCTTGTCATCTTAAGGGATTTTTTGTTCGAGTTGGAAATTTTAGCTGGTTACTTGGACTGTTTTTATTCAATTGTGCAGAATCAGACCCGCCGGCGAGCCACCTTCTCCTAGGGCTGCTCATGCAGCAACTGCTGTCGGCACTATGGTCGTGTTTCAGGTCAACAAAAACTGCAGAATGGTCGCTAAAGATTGCTACTTTCATATAAGTTTTTTTTTTTGGATTGGTCTTTCTAAATAGTTGTTTGCCTCTGTTGGTTAGGGTGGAATTGGTCCGGCAGGGCATTCTACTGATGATCTGCATATCCTTGATCTGACCAATAATAAGTTTAAGTGGCACAGGTGAGGTTCAGTTGTGTGGCTTTTGAAAATTCCTATTTGTAAATTGTTGTTTCAATATTATCTGATTTCTCTTAATCCTTTTGGCGGGTTTTCTTTGGCTAGAGTGGTGATGCAAGGGCAGGGTCCTGGACCTCGCTATGGCCATGTTATGGATTTGGTTGCTCAGAGATATCTTGTCATTGTAAGCGGCAATGACGGTATGACATTTTCAATTTTCTAGCTGTATTCTTTATTTACTTTTGTAGAAGAGACCATAATGCATCGAGTTCAATGAAGATACAGAAATAAACTTGTTTGTCTTGGTCAACTTATTCACTTTGTTGATTACTCTCTTCAATCTTCAATAGCTTTAGGCAACATCCTTTCCCTCTTAAATCCGTCTAGACGTTAGTTTGCTAGGTAGAACGTGGCTACTTTGATAAAGTGTTCCAAAGTATTTCCATCAGTATTACTATGTGGTAACACATTGCCTGTCTTACTATGTGGTAACCCAGATTGAAGAATGGTGAATTTTGTACGTTTTCAAGTTTGTCTCGTGATTTTCTCATGGTTTTGTTTGTTTGATTGCATTGATATCCGAGCAATGTTGCTCTTATTTCCTTTTATTTTTAAATAGGAAAAAGAGTCCTTTCTGATGCCTGGAGTCTGGATACTGGACAGAAACCATATGTATGGCAGAGGCTAAATCCTGAAGGTGATAGGCCATCTGCTAGAATGTGAGTTTGCTTATTGTTAACAATATACAAGCTATTAATGTATCTATATTTCCATAATATGTTTTCTAATTGTTCCCATTATTTATAATATCTTTATAGGTATGCAACCGCTAGTGCCCGCTCAGATGGCATGTTTTTGCTTTGTGGTGGAAGAGACTCTTCTGGGGCGGTATGATCTGCTCTCATTTAATTTATGCTTTAGGTTCACGTTACAATTTTTTGCTGAACTTATCAAGGTAAAAAGAGAGAGACTCTTAATTTTGTTTGGTTTGAGCTGTTGAAGTCGAAGTGATTGTACATAACCATTATTTAATCAGTCTTTGTTCTAATGACAAGATTGAGGCCCCAAGAATTTTGAGATCCCAGGTTAAAGTTTTGGCATGTGAAAATATCATTTGTGGGTTCAAGTTCAGCTTTATGCTAGTTTAAGTCTCACCAGGTGTAGGTTCAGATTTTCTAGTCTAGGCCCGAATATATTCCGATTATCAGTCTAATAGTGTGTTTTAATGATAGATTTTGGTTGTAGTTATTCGGATTGTAGTATTAATTGTAATTGTGATTTTACTTGTAACACTTCAAAAAGAAAAAAAAATTATGTGATAATGCTTAACATAAAGTTTTGATCTTTATGTTTTGTAACTTTGAATAGTCTATATCTAGCCTGGTATGATTTCCTGTCCAAACTATTCTAAATTGTCTGCCTAGGGGTGAGTTTCTGTTTTCGAATTTATCAATTACATATGTACTTTTACAGCCTTTGGCAGATGCACATGGACTGCTTATGCATAGGAATGGTCAGTGGGAGTGGACTGTTGCCCCTGGAGTCTCCCCTTCACCAAGGTATCAGCATGCTGCTGTAAGTATAAAGCACAGCTATTGAATATACTTGTTAAGAACATAAGACAACTTCAATATGTCTATGACACCTTGTTCGTTTAAAAACAATCAACCTGATATTTGCTTGCTAATAGGTTTTTGTTGGTGCACGATTGCATGTTACTGGAGGTGCACTTAGAGGAGGACGTGCTATAGAGGGTGAAGCTGCCATTGCAGGTAAGCTTCTGTATGTATTCTTGAGGTAATTGTCTGGAGTGTGTGTTTTGTGTATCTCAGGTTTCTTTTCTATGTTCTTTGTTTTATAGTACTGGATACTGCTGCTGGAGTCTGGCTGGACAGGAATGGACTTGCTACTTCCTCATGGAATGCTAAGGGATATGCTGAAGATGATCCTTCTTTGGAACTTATGCATCGTTGTCGCCATGCATCTGCTTCTGTTGGTGTTCGAATATATATTTATGGTGGCCTTAGAGGAGGTAATGATGTTAAAGTTTTTTCTGAAAGTTGTGTAAATGGACTTGTTATTATGAACTGGTTTCATTTTGTCTAGTTAACATAAAAGTAGAAGTCCAATTAAGGTAAAGTTTGGGAAGTTGACTTCAGTGAGCATGGGTGATGTAGTTACCAAAAATAGAACTGTAAGTAAGGACTAGCACCAATATGGTCTAGTATTGAGAACTTCATCGTAGGTTCATGTGACTTCTTACTCTCAAGCCACTGCAAACTCATGCTTGTCTGCATTAGAAATTTGTGTATCCGATATGCACACATACTCTCGCAGCTATATGACATCTCTGCTTTTTCCTTGCTTTTGACAGTGATAGATAACAACTTTGATTTGTTTATCTTAACCTTTTGTGTTCACATTTTTCCTTTTTGAGCTATGTTTAATTGCATAATAAATTATTTTATTTTCCACAGATATGCTCTTAGATGATTTCCTAGTTGCAGAAAATTCACCATTCCAGTCCGACATCAATTCTCCTATATTAACCTCTGAGAGAGTCTCAAATTTAACCAGCCCTAGGTTTAATCAACCTAATTTAAGTTTGTTGCCAACAATAGCTTCAGATAATATTCCGGAGTTCTCTTCATCTGGGGGCATGAGGTGTGACTTGAAGCTCTCTCTCTCTCATTCATGTGAGTATATACACACCACCTATGGGATTATCGATTGATGATGAATCTTTATCTTATAGCATAGACAAAAATTCAATGGAGAAATTGAGGGAGGCTTCTGCTGCTGAAGCTGAGGCAGCAAATGCTGTCTGGCAAGCTGCACAGGCTGCATCTGCTGTTCCTCCAGAGGAAACATATGTGTCTAATGGCAATGCACCTGCTTCCGAAACAAATTCAGATGCTAGTGGTAATGAGGCTGGTGTTCGCCTTCATTCTAGAGCTGTATGTATATCGCAAACACGTCTGAATAGCTCTCTAGGTGTGCATCCACAATATTCTTATGGTTCTTTTACTTCAGGTTGTAGTTGCTAAAGAGGCGGTAGGGAACCTGGGTGGGATGGTTAGGCAGCTATCCTTGGATCAATTTGAGAACGAGAGTAGACGGATGATTCCCTCTAATAATGACCTTTCCTATCCTACCAGAAAGTTTGCTCGACAGAGATCTCCTCAAGGCTTGCATAAAAAGGCAAGCATTAAATGAGTTTATTTGTTTTCTATTTAAAAATTTATTGTAGCTTAATGTTATATTTATTTTTCAGGTTATTTCTACATTGCTTCGACCCCGAAACTGGAAAGCGCCCACTAATAGGAGGTTTTTCTTGGATTCATATGAAGTGAGTGAGCTTTGTTATGCTGCTGAACAGATTTTTATGCAAGAACCTACAGTGCTTCAGTTGAAAGCTCCAGTAAAAGTCTTTGGTGACCTTCACGGGCAGTTTGGTGATTTAATGCGGCTATTCGATGAGTATGGATTTCCTTCAACAGCTGGAGACATTACGTAAGTTTGGTAGTTACGCTGCTTGTGCAAGTTAGATGAATCCCCGTCATATTTGAATCTTTAGGCGTATGACTATTACTTCCTACTTTATCATAGGTTCTGCTATTTTTCTCCAAAATTTCTTATTCGACGGTGTTTTGTTTTTTAGGTACATTGATTATCTATTTTTAGGAGACTATGTTGATCGAGGACAACACAGCTTGGAAACAATAACATTGCTTCTTGCTCTTAAGGCAAGCTTCGGGATCAAATGAGCCTTGGTTTAACTATGAATGTGTCTTGTGTTGTTTCTTACTGAACTAGTTATCTTGTTTGTTATGATTGTGCAGATTGAATACCCTGAAAATGTTCACTTGATTCGTGGAAACCATGAGGCTGCTGACATAAATGCGCTCTTTGGTTTTCGTATTGAATGCATTGAGAGAATGGTCTGAATGAGCATTCATATGTCAATTGATTATTTACTTTAACAAGAAAATGTGCTTATTACCATCTATCTGTAGGGGGAGAATGATGGTATCTGGGCATGGACACGCTTCAATCAACTATTCAACTATCTTCCACTTTCTGCTCTTATTGATAAGAAAATTATCTGTATGCATGGCGGCATAGGAAGATCTATATATTCAGTTGAACAGATAGAGAAACTTGAGCGGCCAATAACAATGGATTCAGGATCCATTATTTTAATGGACCTATTATGGTATGTATTTTTTCAAACCCTTGCTCTAATTTATATATATTTTTCTGCAGATTAATCCCGACTTTCATTTGCCTGGTCAGGTCTGATCCAACAGAAAATGATAGCGTAGAAGGTTTGAGACCCAACGCCAGAGGTCCAGGTCTAGTCACTTTTGGGGTATGAATGTTATTGCTTTATGTGTAAAATAGTTATCAATACTTAAATTTGATAGATATAGGAGCCGATAATGATTGGCGCCAAGGTTCAAACTTTCTAGTTTGAATTTACGCAAGGGATACTGCCTTTTCCTGTTTTGTGAACAATAACCTACAATGATTTATGTTGCCATATGCAGCCTGATCGTGTGACGGACTTCTGTAAGAAAAACAAGCTACAACTTATTATAAGGGCTCATGAATGTGTAATGGATGGGTTCGAACGATTTGCTCAGGGTCAATTAATTACTCTTTTTTCTGCAACTAATTATTGCGGTACGCAAACCACATTGAGTCACATTCTAGTGCAGGCTTATCTTTTTGCTGCCTAATCCAGAATATGCACCCAGGTACCGCGAACAATGCCGGAGCTCTATTAGTGGTCGGTAGAGGATTGTTTATAGTCCCAAAGTTGATCCATCCCTTGCCACCTCCCTTTCAGTCCCCAGAAACATCACCAGAACGGGCTGCAGATGACAAATGGATGCAGGTAATCTTTATAAACTCTGACAAATAAAGCATACTTGCTTACTGCGTCTACATCGGTATTTTATTATGTTGATATTGCACCACAGGAGCTGAATATCCAAAGACCACCAACACCAACTCGTGGTCACCCTCAACCCGGACATGATCGCAGCTCACTTGCATATATATGAACACGGAATAAAAATGTTTTGTAACATACAAATATATGATACTGGAGTCCAATGTTTACTTGAGAAGGTCGATTCTTACATAAATTTCGAGAAGGCTCGTTTGTTTACTCCAGTGTTTTTGCCATTGTACACTATATAGCAGTAACACCATCGGCTAATCTCATATTACAGTGAAAATTTACAGAATTGTACAACTACAAACTAGGAGAAAAAAAAATAAAAAACATGCAAATTATCAATCAAGCTCGTTCCCTCTCGTCATTACGCCAAGGCTGAACAATACAACTCTGATAACAACGATGATTCTTAGAACCATCGGATTTCAATCTAACCCCCATCCCCATACCTTTGAGACTCTTCAAATCACCTTTAGCACCTTGTCCGATCAACAACAAAGCAACTTCAACATGCCCTGCCTCCACGCACAATGCAACGGTGTATACCCATTATCATTGACAACGTTGTCCTCGCCACCGTATCCAAGCAAAGTCCGAACACTCTCGAGTTTACCTTTGAATGCCGCCCTATGTAGAGGCCTCGACCCATTTTGGTCCCTCCCATTCACGTTCGCCCCTTTACCTATGCAACTCTTTATCCCATTCACATCCCCGGGCCAAGCGGCGTGGCTCAAAGCTTCGCTTAATTGCAGCGAATCGTACACATTCGAACAGTCATTTTCGAAGGCGAGTGCAAATGCGGTCTTCCCTTGTTTGTTCAATGCGTATTTGGTGTAATTTGATGCCTCTAACAAGCATTCCACGATGTCTAAATGACCTCCCTTGGCAGCTAAATGAAGTGGGGTGCATTTGTTAATATCTAAAACATCAGGGCTGGCACCTACTGTTAAACAAAATCGAGTCACTTCGGTGTATCCGTGGATTGCAGATATGTGGATTGGGGTTCTACCGTGAAAATCTACTGAATCTATCGAATCCGTGTTTCCATAAGCTCGAAACAAAGCATCCATCAAATCCACACTGTTTATTGCTGCTGCATAGTGAAAAACATGGTCAACTGAGTTATCAATTTCACAACCAGAGGAAATCAAGACATTGACCACATCAAGATGCCCAGCTTCAACAGCTAAGGAGATCAAGGATCTTCCATTTGAGTCCTTATGATTTACATCTCCACCACGATCGATTAACGAACGGACCAGATTGGCTTTCCCTGAAACCGCAGCGGATTTGAGTAACACCGTGAGCTGATTCCCAGAACACCCAGAAATTGCTTTGTTCAATAAGAGATTGATATCTGAAATTTGGGTATTGCCGGAAATGAGATGCTCGACCACTTAAGAACCCAGAAAGGAGATCGGAAAAGTAGCATCCTTGAATATGTGGGGTCTGGGCTTGGAAAACCGACGGCGGAGATCATCGTGGTTGGCAAGGAACCATGGTGGTTTTGACGGTGATGGCATCGGGAGGGTCGGTCAAAGGAGGTTGATCGGACGGCTGGGAGAGGAGAGTGTAGGATGAAGATGAAAGGGGAGGGATGATGGAAAGAGGCTTGTTGAAAGATAAGAAAGCTGGGGTTTTTGTGGATAAAGAAACGGCAACAGACATGGTGTGCATAAGATTTGTTAAAGTGAAAGTTGTGGAGCTCTTCTGACCTCTAATGAATACTAATTCGATTCCCTTAACATCTGCTTTCACTAATCTGTCCATGGAGTAACCAAGTTCCGGCCTTTTTTTCCCTGGAAATTTTTTAGATTTAAGAGGGGCTTGGTTGGTTGCCGAGAAAAAATAAAGGAAGACAAAATAAGTTAATTACTGGGTTGTTTAATTTAATAGTTATTAATTTTTAATGTTAAAAGGGTGGGTTTAGGTTTGAATGGAGCAGGTGAGGAATGAATTTGAAGATCAAACATTGAAAGCAAGAAAGGGTCGTTGAGCTGCGTTTTGAAACGTGATATTAGGTATTTAGTTTCAGAATATAATATAAGGTCTAATTTTGTAACATTCCATTTTATTCGTAATTTAAGATTAGATATATATTAAACTTAATAAATGTTTTTAATCATAAAAGAAAATATTATTATTCTTTTTAAATAATTTAAATTTGAATAATTGTATCTACATGTTTTATGTGTATAGTCAATAAACTAATTTTTTTAAAATATATATTATATTATAATCACCTCAAATTATCTAATAAGAAAAAAAAGATTACATATATCTTGTATCCCAACTAAAGGTCTCCCACACACTATTTTCTTACCTCACAACCACGTAGCTTGAAAGTAATAACTATGTCAGTAGACATCATTATAAATATGATTTTTGTTATATCTCATTCAGTAAATTAATGTCCAGTTTAGACGGTCGTTAATTTTATTATAAAAAATTATTAAGTTTGAAATATATGAATAATCAGATGATTATTTTAACTTTTAATAATTATAAAAATTTATAAAATAATAATTTATAATTAAAAAATTATAACTTTTAATAGTTAAAAGATTTAGTCTATAAAAATTTAATTATATTTGTTGAATTTTAAAAAGGTATGAGCAGGACAAAAAAGCACTTTTTGGTGATTGATGAAAAGATGAAGCGCATCCTTGAACAAGAAAATTGGGTCTAATTTTCGGCGTTTTTTTTTAAAAAAAAATCATTTTTTTAATTTAATATTTTTGATTTAACATCTTTTGTAATAAGGTGCGTCTCCTATATTACAATATACGCTGAGTTGGCATCACGTGGGGTAAGGCGTGCCTTATGCTAACACGGATACACGTGTGAACGGGCGAGGGTATGTTGATAATTAAGGGTATGACACAGCGCAGGGGTCGCGTCTTACCTGTGATTCTGACACGCGTGAAAAAGGCGCGGGCTCTGCCTCGTGCTATACCCTTAATTACCAAATTATCCCCGCTCATTCACACCCATCCCTCCCTATAAATACCCCCATTCTCAATCACTTTCATTACACCAAATCCTCTCAACTTGATCAACTTATTCAGCCAGCCCATAGTATGAGCTTAATGGCTGAACTCGAACAGCACGCACTCGAACAAACTTTGCATACATCTCAATATCGCCGTCTGAATAATTACTTTGAGAATCAACCATCATTTCAACATCATCATTGTTCGATAGTTCGAACGTTGTATAAATTAATGGCAACAATGATGTTGAAAATTTGTACTGCAACGACAAGATTCTTCTACTACTTCCAACATGAACCTTCCTCGAAATCTTCGTTATCAGCTCCTTAAGAGTTATGTTTCTCTTGAATGATATTTTAACACGCTCATTTGATACGAATACAACGCCGGTTTCATCTTCTCGAATTTCTCCATCATAATAAACAATAGCTGAAAGTTGCGTCATTCTTAGAGTTTAAAATTGCAACAATATTATATCTGCAAAAAAAACAGAAACAAACCTAATTAAATAAATAATATATGATCAAAAATATAACAGAATAAATTTTTTACACATAAACTTAAATAATATAATTTTATATTATTACCTGCACCGCAAAAATATTTTGACGTATGCTCCGACTTTCTAATTCTACAAACACATAAATTAATTGAAAACAATTAGTATAATATTTTTTCAAATAATTCAAAGTATTGTTAGTGAGAGAGTTTACGGGAGATGGCTATTTATAGCCGAGAGAGGATGCCTTAAAGTCGAGAAGTTTGGAAAAATAATGCAAGGCGCGGTCTTTGCACCGCACCTTGCATGCTGCATGTTTGATAATTGAGATAATTGAATAGCGCGGCCATTGCCTCGCGCTATATCTTACGTGACGTAAGGTGCGGCCCTTGTCCCGCGCCATACACACGTGTATCCATGTCAACATAAGGCGCGTCTTACTGTAAAAGGTGTTAGATCAAAAAATATAATTTAATCGGTACCTGATCGAAGATATTAAATTAAAAAGATGATTTTTCGGAAAAAAACACCCTAATTCGCAGCGTGACATTTTCAAGGAGACGACACCATTTGTTGTTTGAACCAAAAAAGATTAATCAGCTGACTGTTATGCTTTGGATTTACTTATCATTTTTTTCTTTATCAGGACTTTGAATGTGTATTTAAAAAATAAACTTACAAGTAATTATATAATAATATAGGGTTGGCTTAAATCATTTGTATAATTTTTATAAAAAAAAAGTCAACTAAGGGACCAAATTGTATAAAATAGGATTTAATTGTAAAAGAATAATTTTGTTGTTAATAATAGGAATTGAATTTATACAAGTATTCTACTGTGTTAATGGAGCATGTGGTTTAAATTTAGTCAAAAATGAACTTAAAACGAATGAGTAATTTGAGAAATAAGACAATCATGCAAAGTTGATGGACTAAATTTAAAAAATTAGAAAAATAATTTTCAAAAGAGGTAATTGAAGTTAAAATGGTATTCTACAATAGTTTAGGAGTGTGATTCAAATTTGGTAAAACAATATATACTTAAAATGAAGAAAGAAAAGAATAAACAAAGAAATCAAAGACTAAAGTGTAAAACAACTAAATTCAAATTTTTATTTTTTTCAAATTAAAAAATTTGAACTCGAAAACTGAAATTGAAATATGAGTTGGTTCCATTAACTCAACTCGAATAATTTAAAATTTTAAAAATTAAAATTTTTAAATTGAATTAAATTTTGTTCACCTTTAATTATTAGATGGGAATCTGAAAGAATAAACTTGGAGATTCTAATTAAATAACATGGGATTGGCTTAAATTACTTGTTTCAGAATATAATAATGCTTATAGAGTGCATAGATTGAGTAATTCTAAACCACCTTCTTTCTTTTTTAAATAAACATTGGATTGGTTAAGTTACTTACCTATGGTTTGGGTAGAAATCATCTAGACGTTATTTTTTCAAGTTTATAATGACGTTCTTAGGTTTAATGATATCGGTGTTTTAAATAAAACTCATTTATCATTATAAATATGATAATATTTTTATTAAACCGATATGATTTTAAGGTAATATTTATTTTAAATATTCTAAACCATTTACGATGAATATTCACACACCTCTATAAACGTTAGGACTCAAATCCATAATCTATATAAACAATAATTATTTCTTTGTTTCTTTAATCATAAGATAACTTAATTTATGTATAAATCAAAATTTTAAATTCCATTTATTAAATTATAATCATACAAGAATTAAATAAGATAAGTTTTTGCTCTCATGCAAAATCCTAATTTTTTTAAAAAAAATCTATAAATTCGTTCTATCAAATGGATTTTTATAAATATGAGATGAATGAAATATAATATATGTTTAAAGATTTTGAATCTTTTAAAAATGAATGTTTATACTTTTGTCTATGCGGTGTTCAAATTCAAAATATTAAGGATAACAAGAAATCCTTTAACCAGTAACATTATAATTGTATTAATATTAATTTATTTTTTAAACGAAATTTACTTTCAACATTTATATTTAAAATATATAAATTTAAATACATAGAATAATTTCAAAATTTTATATATATGAACAATTATCTAAAAGATGGGCTTAAAAGAATTGTCAGGTGTTTGGTTGCTTAGCTCGTGGCTGTGAGGCTGATCTGTGCAATTAGAGCTTCTATTCTATGTTCGTTATCTGGCTTTTTGGTGATGACTATACAAATGGCTATATTAAATTAGTCTCATGCAGGCACCTTTGCCAAGAACTTGGTTTAGGCCTATAGGCCCATTTGAGTTTTGCTATATTTTTATCATTTATTTCAAGCTTTAATGTAACTTTTATTTTTATTTTAAAAATATAGGTTATTTTGGTTTTATCTGGAAATATTTTGTAAACATCAATTCCAATTCTAATTATTCAGATCATTTATCTGTATATTTGTAATCATAATAAGTTCAAATATATATTGTGAGAAATCATTAAATTAACGTTGACAAGTTTACGATAATCAAGAGCATAGTAAACCACTAAATAACCATTACAAATAAATAACATAACATACAAATTACAATTCATAATGTTTTTGAAAATTTTTCATCTACCTAGAAAAACAAACAAATGAATGAATGAAAAATTTCTTCCCAAAGTACCCCTACAATGCAATATAAAATTACAGATCTAGCCTTTCCATTCGTTGCAGAGGGCAGTAGGCCTAGTCTTCTCCGTCTCCCCCTTCAACGGACAGGGCGTCTGTACAGGCGGCACCATACAGTTATACTGTATACACAGGGAAATGCTTCGAGGGATCTCCGCCGTCGGATTAATCTCGATTCCGGTCAAATAATTATGCTGCAAATAAAGTGTCTGTAAGCTAGCGGATAACAAACGGTCGACCAAGCTGACCGGGACCTGACCAGTGAACCGGTTGTGATTCTAGTAAAGATTCTGCACCGTCGAGAACATTGGTGATATCTGACCGGAAAGCATGTTGTGGCTCAGATCGACGGTCGAGATTCTCACCTGATCAGACAGTTGGACTAGACCGTCAAACGAGTTTCTTTGCAAGTGAAGGTTTATAATAGGAAATGAGAACAACGGGACAGGAATTGAACCAGTAAAACGGTTAAAACTCAAGTCTACGAAGTTTAACTGGTCGAGCTGGGATAGAACACCGTCCACCGGTCCCGTCAGCTTGTTCCAGGAGAGAGAGAATAACTGGAGAGAAGGAGGGAAGGAGTCGGGGAGCGAACCGGTGAGCGCATTGCGTTTGAGGTC